ACCTTTTAAATTACAGCGAATTGTCTTTGAGCTGAAGTTTTTACAGTCGCTTGACACATGAGATTTTTAATTGAAGAATCGGTAATTTATTGTCAAAAATAGAAATTTATTCAGTCATTTACTTTTTTTGTTTCTTCAATTATTTTACGTCCATAAATATGTATACTACGATGCACAAAATCATGTATCGTATAATATATACTATAGATACTATGGTTTCCATGCTTAATAATTTTTATGGTTGCTAAGAAATGCGGAACAGTATAGTACATTGATTATTAAAATACTTCTTCATCTTGGTCATGCTTTTAGGACCTTGTTTATTTGGGTTGAACGATAGTTCTATCGGTATATGAAAGTGACGCGCTACCAAGTCTAGATTAGTATGATTCGTATAAGTATGCTCGTCTTTCGTGGATAATGACCCCGTACACTTGTAATGCAAATACCCCTAAACATCGGAGGCTTTGTAGTTTCAAATTCCTTTCCTTACGAAAGCTTCATTAGTGTACTTCATTACCAAAGTTGCACTAATGGTTCACACAAAACTGAACTTTCTAATAATAAATTATGACGAAAACAGCCAATTATTTTGTCTTTAGAATAATTTTCGTAAGTTGAGTCATTGGTGCGTGCAACTTTCACGACATTTTCGTTACTTATCAATTCCCCTCCTCTCATTCTTTCTTTTACAAACTGGACGACTAGTTTGATATTTTTACGTACGAGAAGCACAAGCATGAACATTTCCGTGGTCGACACCGAGTAAGTACCCGAGACTCTCCTATATAATATTTTNTTTTTTTAAAAAAAAAAAAAAAAAAAAAAATTAAGTATACAGGATCGTTGCTACAATTATGCAACGGGGGCTATACGCTACGTTTCGAAAAATATGATATCTGCAGCGGGCTCGGAACAAAGGAAATAGGATGGAAAAAAAGAGGTGGAGACAGTGGATGAGAGAGGGAGGGTATATTTAATATACGAAGCATATATACGCGTTCTCACATAATTATTAAGTGGCGAAAGTAATCGTCGGCCTCGTTGATTCGAGTTTTTCGCATCCACCCTGGGGAAACGTGTATTATGCATTGTAACTGTATTTTTGTTCTGGTTTTTTTTTTCTTTTTTTTTCTTTTTTTAATTTTGTTTTAGGTACACCACAATAGAACGATGCGAGAGACTCGAAAGCGACGCTTCGGTCGACGAGCACACGCACGTAAAGTTTCACAGCGCCCGATAATTGTTTCATTCACCGTTTATTTACTGTTTTATTGTCGTAAACTATTATTGAATTTTATGTTTTGTATGTATATATATATATATATGTGTGTGTGTATATGTATATAATTTACGTTATTATGTATATCGTATATTTTTCTCTTATATAAATATCTCAGAATTATTGTTCGAACAGCATTTGAACTTATAGCCTATGTTAATATTGTATCTATAATTTCATGGTTTTATCTATTTTCTCCAAATATACGTATTATGCACGGGATCAATTGAAAACCAACTACTTTTACATACGCGACACAATTCATACTTGTGGAACTCAAGTACAGGACATTCGAAAGTACAATTGACTGGTCCTGTATAAATAATGACGGATAAAATAAAATCAGTGTTAATATATATTAAAGTTATTTTTACTCTTAAATATAACGAATCAATGAACGCTTTGGAAAATGTCAACAGATTTTAAAACAGTTCTCGTGAGTAATTTTTTTTTTTTGTTTTTTTCATTGTATCTACTGCTTAAAAAAAGGTTTCTGGATCATCGTGCATCACCATGAGAGACTTATTAGGCCAATCACTATACTTCAATGCAAGGATGAGTGTACACTCACGTAATAATAATTTGAGGGATTCAGGGAGGGATCAGCTCGCCATCTTTGCCGCTATAATTTTAATAACATTCTTTTTCATCGGTAACAAAATATAAATAAATAAATAAGATTTTTAATATGTCATCAAAGTGCTAGTATAACAGTGCCTTTTTTATTATTTTTCGTTTGATAATTAATGCCTTTCTTCTGAATTTTCGACCAATTTCCATATACTTTTAAAATAATTTACTGAGTTACTTAACGAATATGCTATTAAAAAATATGCATTTATAACTTTGATGTAAACTAAGCATAAACGATACACAGTCGTTGAGGAACTTTATGAATAAATATATAT